GTGGGGGTTTAGGGTTAGATCAGACACTTAGGATTCAGAGCTTTACGAGTCCAGGCAGGAGTGTAGGGTTTGGGATGTAGCATGGCCGTCGGGCTTAGGAGTCTCAGGGCAAAGGCAGCATGGGGTTTTGGGGGTTCCTCCCAAATGCCCTATTCTAATTATTAGGGCCGCTGTATGAATCTCCTGATAGCTAGCCGGTCCTTCGCCAAGGGCCCCGAAGGGGTTTAAACATCAGGGGTCTACGTCAATAATAAGAAGCACGTGCAAAAGCCCTGCTCGAACCTTATAAACCCGATAAATGCAACATAAAACGCTGATGATGATGAAACCTTGGTTCTTTTTTGCCTCCCGCCTGGCTAGGACGAACCTACGATGCAGGGTCATATACGAGCAACTCAATACTTGCGCGAAACCTTTCGCTCAATCTTCTGCAGCCAGGAGCCCCGTTGAGGCAATGCGACCACACCAGGTTAAAGCTGAAAGGTCACTTGCTCAAATGCTGCCAAGATACCTTTGAACCCTGAAGAACTATAAACATCTATACTGGTAAACCACAAAAACAGCTGCAACATGCTGAAGAGTGTCCTCCATGCGGACTTTGCCATCCGAGTCGGTATCTAAGCTCTGCCAAAGGTGGGAAATTTCCACTGGAAGATCAACCTGCCGGCAGATTTACCAACAGTCATTTAGTTCTATGCCTGCAACAGAAGTTGTCCGTTGGAGGTGTATGGTGTATGGCCTTAGGATAGCTAAAGATGCCCAACCTTAGTTACCTAGTTAGTCTGCAAGTGTGTGTGTGTGTATTGTATATGTGTGCAGGCATTGCTTCATATATATATATATCTCTCTCTCTCTCTCTCCTTGCGGCCCTTCATACGGTGAATGCAAGATTGCCGAGAATAGGTCTTGAAGGAGGCTCCGCGCCAAATTTGCTTAGACTTAGCGCGTGGGTTCTCAAGCTTGGGGCATTTTCTCTCCCGCATGGCAAGGGTGAGGTCACATCGGATTGAAGTAGAGGCGAAACGAGGAAGCTCCCGAATACACGCTGCACAGACATAGCTGACGGCCTGCCGGCAGTACTTCCGAATGTCGGTCCTCGGTCGACTAGGATCCATTTGGTTCAAGGGGGGAGGGTACTGGGGCTTACTGGGGATCCTTCGAGAGCCTTAGCGAGTACGAGAGTACGAGGGAGATTACGGACATTTGAACCCTCCCTCCCTCAAGGATCCCATAATCTGTCTTGGAAACCATAGCAGACTTAGGATTTTGTTCTGAAAGAAATCAAACCGCTTCAAAGCAGAGCTCAGCCTGGAATTTCCGATGGAACAACCTGGACTCTCTACCTCAAAGCACAAGAAGACGGTATAGGGTTTTTCCATCTTTTCGGTGTTTTTTGCCGTAAAAGCGGGTTTAGGGTTTAAGGGTTTAGAGTTGAGTAGGATGCCAAGGAATACGTGCCCTAATAACTAGACAGCCACATGGCTTTCGGTGAAGCTTAGGGTTGATCAAACCCTAAACGACATGGGCTTTATTGAATGAAACGGATTCATGTACAGCCTTCCTGGCATTTTGACATTCCATGCCTCACGTCCACCCACCCGACTACCTGCAGGAATAGCAGTTAGCCTGAATTCAAAAAAACGGTCTTAACAATCACGATGCCTGTGTAAAGGCATCCAGTGATCGCAGGCGGATGGGATGGGATGCGATACTTCCCCTTCGACTCAGAAACAAGTGCCCTCATAAAAGCCCTAGACCTTAAAAGCCCCAACATCCCTTCCTAACGTAACCATAAACCCCAAAACCCTGTATACCATCAAATGGGGGCTTCCGAAAATAGGGAACCCTAATATAGTACCCTAAACAGTAGGATCCTTATTATAGGGACCCCAACAGAAGGCACCCCTTATTTCGGAAACTCCCAAATCCCCTCAGAGCCAAGGCATCTCGACTAGAAGCCCACAGTACTTAGGCCGTGGCAAGGTCATGTGGTGGCCTCACGAGAGAATGGGGTGGCTTCGGGCTCGGGGTATTTCGCGGGGTTGAGCTTGAGGGTTTTGCATGGTCCTTGTCGATGGTTTAACTTTCTTCTGAAGGTTTGGCTTCTTGAGGGCTTAGGGTCTGTTTGAAAGTTTAGGTTTAGATGTTGTTGAAGGATGTTCGAGGGTCTAGGCCTGGTCCCGCTTCAGGATTTAGGGTTGTAGTGCTGTCGCTACAGGGCCTGGGCTTAGTATTCTCAGGGTTCCCTGGAACTCTGCCGGCTAGATGAGGATAGGGTTTAGGGTTTAGGGTTTAGGGTTTATGGCTGTATGGGATGCCATCAATGGCAAACTCTCAGATCAAGCGAACTCCAACGTGGAACGGAAAGCGCAGCAAGCGCTTGGCGTTTAGTCGCATCCCGCACCTGGGAGCTTCAAGACATCCCGGTGTGCGGGCCTGGGACGAAGCCTGCCTTAATGGGGGTCGGCGTACGTGCTTTGGGTACAACAGTGGACTCCTGATCAGCAGAGCCATCTTATTGGGATCCGTGTAAACAGCAGGGAGCTTTGTTGATCAGAGGTCTACTCTACATCATGACATGAGAGACAACGGCATGGAGACCTCCTGGATTGATATCGCGGCGGAGAGCGCGGACCTGTCATGTGGGTGACGGCATTCGGTTTAGAACTGGTGTAGGGTCGCATAGGGTTCCGTTTCGAGCTTAGGCTTTCAAGGCTGGCACCAGCTATCCATCCTCGGACCGGCTTTCGGGTTTATCGTGTGCTTGGCTGCAGTGTCTAAGTTCCATAGACCGTGATTGAACAAGGAGGCAAGCCCCAGTCCCGAAACCCTAAACATCCCTATCAACGCTTGCTTTTACACCTGCCATGGGCTATGATGCATATGCCAGGAGCCGAGGCGCCGACTGTGCTGTGAACTCGTGCCCAGACTGCAAAAAACTTATCAGCTGGTCGTCCCAAGACCAAACCCTGAACCTGCCTCGTTTCCGTAGGAGATGCAGATCTGCTTCAAGAAAGTCGCCCGCCTTGGTCAGGCTGCGGGCCTTTTCGGGAGGTGTAATACAGGGGCCTCAAGTAGGACAGGTTTTTGGTGTTTTTTCTGCACGATTTCCAATAAAAAAAGACGGCTGTGAGAGGTTGCATTTGCTGACTCTCGCGACCCCTATATCAGGGCTGCGGCATTGATGTCCTGATAGTAGATTTACGTGGGGTTTCGGGTTTAAGGGAATTCGGGCTTCGGGTTAGGCCTGTCCAACAGCGAGCCAGCTGCTAAGCTATGTGGCAAAGTACAGCTAACACCTTGTAACCGAATTCACACCTAATTCAGCGAGCAACACTGTGCACGCCCTTAGCTTAGGGTTTCAGAGCTATTGCTGTGGTATCTAGGCGTCCGAAATCGACTCAAAGCTTATCGCAAAGCCTTTGGGCACTTAGAGCCAAACCTTAAACCCCCAACCCTAATGTCTTTAAGGCATTTCAGTTCAGAAGCCACACACTCAACCGGAATCAACACTGGAAGCAAGTCCGCTCGCGGCATCTAGGTATCTGTTCTAGAAAGGGGCTGACAGGGCGGGATCTTATCATTAATCGTAAAACCTTGTTGCAGGCCGCCCTGGGGCGCCGGGCGCGCACTTACGCTTGAAGCGCGTGTCGCGCTCCCGCTCGTATCCTCAGCGTCTAGGGTTTAGCATGGTGGGCGGTCGGCTTACAAGGTTTAGGGCGGCTTTAACAATGTCGTAAGCTTACATGCTAGAGACCCGGGACCCTAAACCCCGTGCAGGCCTTCAGTGTCAAGGGAGGAAGGGAGGTAGGGCGAGGTACAGAACGGCCCCTATCTTTGTCTGAAGCTCTTTAATTGCATAGTGACATAGATCTCGGGTGCGGATGCGGAGTTTTCTGTGCTGGGATCCTCCGTACGCCATTGACTGCCCCAGAATACGGGATTGTGGGGTGTTTCCGGGTTCTCCTCAACTCTAAGCGCCCCCGCAAAATTACCGCAAGCCCTCCGCCCTCCACGGGCCCCCCACGCCGCTGGCAAACCACCATGGGAATCTGCTCGAAGGCACCGGCCTGCCGACAAGGGCTTTAGTGCTGAGGGTTTTTGTGTTTGGGTGGTTGTGGTCTGATACGGCTTTGGTGATCCGGGGCTGTTGAGGGCTTCGGGATAGAGAGCTCCAGGGCTAAGGCTAAGGTGAGGCCGTGCAGGCTCCTAGCAACAGCTTTGAGAGGATTGAGGGGTCGTGCTGGTCTGAGCCGGACTCAGTTCAGACCCCTCAGGTATGTGGGTAGTTCTCAAAATTAGGGTCCCTTAATGTCCCCAATATAGTACGGCACCTTTATAAAAAAGGACCCTAAAAGGGGCCCTAATTTACACAAATACCCATGTGAGGTCTCGTTCTGGCCCTACGAGTGGTCGAAGCTTCGCATGAGACTGTTCTTCGGCGTTCAGGGTTTCAATGCTATGAATGTATCAGGGAACCCTAGGAAACAAGCTGACTACTGTTTCACCTATAGTCTCCATTCTACTTTCTTCTTGGGGGTACCTTATAAAATCCTTAATATATAATTGGTTAAACCAATAAAAGGAACTACAGCGGAGACTCTAGGCAGGGTTCAGGCCTGTATATCTTCCCCAAGGGCCTGGGCCAGGTCTGAGTCTGGGCCTCCTGACATTCACAGCGTCAAGGGGTTGCGTGTTTGGAACTGAAGGCCTTGCGAGTGAGAGGTGGAACGAGGACCGTAATTGCAAGCGTAAAGCTTATGGCATGTGTCGCGTTATATTATATGAATATGTGTGTGTGTGTGTGTGTGTGTACAAAACCAATAGAGTGACCGTAAGCGGATATGATTGGCTTTAGGGCACGCCTTTCCCAAATAAATGCACGAAGTGCTCAAGTCGGGCTTTTTAGGATGGGCGGGGGTTCCACCGAAAGACTCTGAGGTCTCTCTCCGAATCACGATGGCCCTCCACTCCCCCAAAACCCACTCTAATTATCAAGGCCCCTACACCCTAAACCCTTAAGGGAACCCTTTAAAGGAACCCCCAAGCAGTAAGTATAGGTAATATGCCAGGTACTCTGCTCTCAGCTCTTGTGGTTTGGCCTTCTTTTCCTTAACGGGGACCCTCTTCTAGAAACCCAAAACGTACACCCTCTGAGAGAACCCAAGTACCCAATGGTACCCTTTATGGGACTCTTCGGAAGAACTAAGCTAAACCCTAAACCCGAAGCCCTCAACTCCTAAACCCCTAAATCCCCAAAACCCTAAACCCAGGCTAGTACCAACTGCTTTCCATGCCTGCCAGGGCCGAGGTGCGAGCCGGTGTCGCTCGGGCAAAGCTACACCTGGGCTTTGAAACTTTCTGGGCAGCCTTTTTAAGGTTCTATAATAAGGTTCCCTTTTTAGGGTACTATAGGGTTCTATAATAGGGTTCCCTGTAAGGGTCCGAATCCCATTCGCTTGACAGGTCCCCGGTTTTGAGCCTCGGCTTTCGCATATTCGCCTAAAGATGTACCAAACATACTGCAGAGCCATGACGTCTCATTCTTGTCTTACGGTCTGTATACATGCTTATAGAATACAAAGGACTAGAAAGTGTGCGGCCGTGTCTTATGACTCTTCTGTTTCTGTCAGACGTGATCCGTTTGCAAAGGATGTGGGGTTTCCTATAGTGTCCTCATGAAGTCGGCCTGAAACCTTCACCCTGGAAGTGCTACTCCACATAACTTTGGTGGTTCGAGTGGGGGGGGGGCAATTTTCGGCGCGTGCGCGGCTTAAGGAGCCACAGACGTGCATATTATCATCTGCCGGCGATGATCATGCCGATGATGGAATCAAAGCCTCGCCAGGTGTGCTACACCAGGGCTCAAAACCCAAGGCCCAAAACCCTAATTGACTTTCTGCTTGAAAAGATTAGGATTTGTTTCACGATCGAAGGGACCCCTATGACACTTAGGGAAGTGTGTGCTGCAATCTCGAGACCACAAAACCCTAACAGTTATGTGACCCTAAGCTCCTATGAGAAAGCCGCATCCTTGCCAGAAAGCCTACCCCCTGAAATTCCCTTCCCTCACTCTTAAACCGCAGACATCCTTAAATCCTGAACCCCAAGTCCCCGAAATCCTCAAACCCGAAGATCTGTGGCACCCGTACTTTCCTCTCCGGGGAGGGGCTTCAAGCCAGTTCGTGCCTTTGGGCACTGTAGAAGTTTCTATAAGGGCTCTAAGAGGAATTACCGCAGACAAGGCTTCTAGGGTTTACGGTTTACGGTATAAGGATGAGGTTTCGGGGTGACGATTGCGTTTGAGGTATTGGGACCAGAAAGGAGTCAAGGGTAGGACTCCGGCTCCACACCTACTTCTGAGGATATTTGGGCTTGAGGGCTTTGGGATCATGTGGTTCGGGTGTTGGTTCATGCCTTTTGAAGTTGAAGCTGTTTGGGTTTCTAGGGTTCAAGGCTTGGAAGTTTTGGGCGGTTCTTGAGGTGTTCGGTGTGTGCTTGCAGGATTTAGGCTTCACTCCAATGCTACTGGGCCTGGTTCGGTTTGAAAGCTGGCGCCCCGTTTCCTGAAAGACCCTGCAGCTGGCTTCTTAATGACCCGAAACCCAGACTACATGGTGTGACGTGAACGACGCTGAACTGGCATGGCGGGGCCAAGCTGAACGCTTATCGCGCGGGGCGGTAATGGAACCATGCAACTGGCACGGCGAGAGGGCTAAACCCTCTAAGCCATGACCGGTGTAGCAATCATTATAGAACCTTAAACCCCATGTCCCCCAGATCCCTTTAAAGTCACCCTTTACCAAGGACTTGATTTTAATCACAGCCCGTGAACCTTTTGTCAAAACCCTCGGATCCACGCATTTTGCAGGAACTCCAGAGCTGCTCGCTGCTTCCACTCCTGAGTCTCGTCAGGAACCACCTTATAACCTGCCAAAACCTAAACCCTAAACCCTAAACCCTAAACCCTAAACCCTAAACCCTAAACCCTAAACCTATACTTTTAAGACGCTTGGTAGGTTCTTACTACAAGCCCCAAGAGGAAAAGTCTAGGGACCCTAATCCTGAAGGTTAAGGTAGGGCTTCTGGGGCTCAAGATTAAGCGCTTCAAGGGTTTAGTAACTCATTTAGGGTTTTTATAGGGTTTGCAGAGCTTTGCGGTTTATGAGGTTTGTATAAAGGATCTTAAATGGTTTCGAGGGGTCTTAGTCCTCAAGATTTGGGGCTTCAAGGGCTGAGGGTTTAAAATGTCTGAGGGTTTGGCTTCCAAAGGGCTTTGGATGGAAGGCTCCGTGGGTTTACGCTCTCACAACTCGGACAAGCCGGGCGAGG